AAGTCATGGAAACCAAGGATTTAACCCCCCAAAAAATATTTTTAAAAAATCTTTTAAAATCCAAAGCAAACAGTCAGGCGAAGGGAAGGAACCAGAACAATAGCGAACATGTTTTGGGCTTCATTTACAAATGAAGAACCAACACATTCAGACCTATGGTGGAAAATACTCATTTATGGTAGAAAAATGAGAACTCACACTTCTCTACACTCAGGGGGATTTTCTGGAAAGCAGAATAAACAAACATTTGGAGGGTGGTGATCAAATCATGTACCAAAAAGGAGTCTGGCTTACACCAGTATATGGATTTGTTAATTTTCAGCACGTGGGTAAAAGATTTGTGCTTTTCATGGTCTACTGAAGTGTATTTCACTGTAGCCCACAGGTGGAGTAATATTAAGCATTACTTAAATGGTTCCAGAGAGTTCTCTGGAGGAAGTCAGAGCTACATCTGACAAATAACACTCATGACTGGCAATGTTACTATTCCCACTGTGCTGTGTGTACTCCTGTTTCTGTCTTTGTGATCCCTTGAGGGCTGTGATCATCAGAACAGCTGCTGAAGTTCCTTGTAATATGGTCTCTACTCTGAGTGGTCAGTTCCATTGTATTCTGACCCTCTCTCAATGTTTAGGGCCTTCACATTGGAATCACCAAATGACTTGTAATCACACCCCAGGACGTCGATTTGGTGACCAAAATGGGGAAGGGGGGCAGTGAACGTACTAAAGTTCCTTCCCAGCTCCAAGGCATAAAGAGTTCCCACAACGACCCCACAGTCACATGGGTCTCTCCATTCACCCACAAGTTATCCTCCTCTTGGACTCTGAGTGAGTGTATGTGTAGCACGGGGACCTAATCCCTTGTGGGTGACTCCTAAGAAGGTGTCCCCTGCTCTTCTCTGCCCCATGGGAACCCAGAAAAGCATAGAACCATGCTACTGTGGTCCAAGAATCAGCGTGTCCAAAAATGTCCAACAGGGTCAAGATCTCACTCATCCTGTGTGTGTCGGGGTGGGGGTGCTGGTGCCCACAGACCTGCTGCCCACCAGGTAAGAGATTCATGGTCTGGCTCCAGCTCACTCGCAGATTTCTCTAAGCATTTCTCATGCTGGCCAGAGGAATGTCGTTGGGATTTTCAGAAGCAGACATAGTGCTGGTCTTTTACTTCTCCCCAGTCCCCAACGTGAATTTTTTTCCCAACATGAATTCTTGGGGACGTGACCCACTCACAGGCACCACCATCAGCCTCATTTACTATAAATTTACAGTGTTTTATCTCTCTGAAGGAGGTCCTCCAACCCCACTCATAAATTAGGGATAAAATTGGACCCTTGTGGGCATTGTTTCAGTGGGGTTCATGGGTAGTGCCATCAAAGGATTTAACCCCCCAAAAAAGTATGTAAGTACTGATACAGTTGAATTAGAGTCTTCATTTTACTCAAACAGTCCTGTTGTCACCTCCTATTACTAGGAAATTAGTTACTATATCACCTTATGTGGTGATATGCAATGTTCTATTAGAAATAATCAAATGTACATGCATTTAACAAGATGCTGCGACAGATTTTGGGGAGCGATTTTAAATGTTAACCAGAACTATGGGAAGAAAATATATTTTGATTGAAGAAACCAAGAGAGTAAAGGGAGAAACTAGAGAGAATATTGAAATGAGTAAAATGATTTATAATAATGAATGGATGGATGGTGGATGAATGACAGACAGATGAACAGAAAGGTGGTGAATGGATGGTGAATGGATAGATGATGGTCAAACACACATTTGTCATGGCAGAAGGGATACAAAACCCAAAAATGTAGTTAATGCTTTGGGGATTCCAAGAAGAGTGAGGTAATAAATTATATGGGTGGGACCACAATTAAGCATTATTTTTCAGAAAATACCTTCTGAATTGGGTCTTGAAGATGATAGTCATATTCAATAGCAATACAGTTGCCATTGGCTAAATATTCCAATTTCCAGTCATTTCACATCCTGCTGTGTGACTCGCCAATCAGTCCCAGTTTCCAGGTGAGGACAGAAGCTCCCAAGAGGAAGCAGCTTTCCCACGGCTGCTAGGCTGATGGGTGCAGAGCCGAAAATGAGCCCTATCTGCTGCATGCCCAGGGCCTGTCCCATGCTGCTGCCCACACAGAAGCCCCCAGGAGCCCAGAGGGCCAAGGGGGGGTGGAGGAGGCTTCCAGGAGGAGAAGGTTTTGTGGCACAAGCAAAGACCAGGGGCTGGGGAGGAGTGAGGCAAGACAGAGAGGCCCCAGGAGTCGGGGCTGAGTGGCACTGAGGGCAGGGCCTGGGCACTCCAGGACTCAGGCTGCACCAGGCCTTCAGAAGTGCAGCCAGCATGGTGACCCCAACTGACCGGGGACTCATAGCAGGAAGCGGAACTGGATGCAGGACCAGGCCCTGGCACTGGGTTCAGGCTCCCACAGAAGGGCATTGTACACTGGCAGAGGCATGGCAGGACCAGGTGTCCAGGGGGGAACATTTATCTCCCTGCAGATGCACCTTCAGAACAGGTAGGATTCCACTCCAAGGCACCAGAAAGTTCTGAGCTTTCTGCCTGTTTGGTCAGTTCAGTGGCAGGAGAGAGGGTTCCTAGCTGTGGTCTCTGTCCATCCACTTAGGTGTAGCCTCTGTAGGTCCTGTCTGAGGTTGAATAAATGTCCCCTCAACCAAGACCCAAGACTGTGAGGAAGGAACAGGGCAGCTGAATCTTTCCTACACATATAATTCCCCCGTACACACTGAGAGATTCACATACAGATGTGGTATTTCAGGATACAAAAGATTAGAAAGGACCGAACCCTCAAAAAACAGTCAGTATGGGTCGATTAGGTACACACTGAGTATAAGGAAAGACCAGAATCACAGTGGTAGTGGGCAATCACAGGAGACTTCCTGTAACAGGTGACATATTGGTTGGTAATCTGAGCACAGTAAACTAGTTGAGGAAAGAGAAAGCCATCCACACAAGGGGATAAAGCCAAGCCCAGAAGGCTGGAATTGCTATGCTTGTGTGTGTATGTGGCTTGGGTTTAGGGAGGAAATTCCTCAGGAAAAGATGCTACCATTTACTTGGTTCTCTGAGAACCTCTGACAAGAGAGAACATAGTGGGCAAATAAAAGATGTGGGCAAGAGAATAGGTCAAATTACTAAATGTTTCAAAGAATCTTGCACTGGGGCAGGGATTTCTAGGGAGAGCTGTGAGCAGTTTCACCCTTTCTTCATCTTTGAATGCAGACACTTCCCTCTTCTTCCCCCAGCTTCTACCCCGGACTCCTGCTGCCCTCCATCCAGAAAGATGAGCCACCCAAGGACCCTCACCCTCCTCTGGGTTCTGCTGACACCCACCCTGCTCAGTGCCCACCTCAGCCCGGAAGTCATCCAAGAGCGTGAGTGCCGCCAACCAGGCTGGAAACACGGGGCAGCCCTCTAAGCATGGGGTGGGGGTCCCCATCCTTGAGGCTTTGCGAAGCAGCGGGAACCCCAGCGGAGGGGAACTCCTTGTGTGCACAGGGAGAACTGCTTCCTGTGTTGCTAGCCCAATTCTCCGGGACACGTTTGTGGATGGTTATTGCATTGGATGTACCGGGAAACTGCTTTGGGAAAGTGTTCAAGAATGAAGTGAGATCCCCACGGCTGCCCTGGGAGGTGACAGCCCAGAAGCCTTGGAGAGGAGCCTGGCAGGGCCTGGGTGGCACCCTCCTGGGTCCCGGCACCCAAGTATGAGGGAGATGTTAGGGTACCCTGGGCTGCTTCCAGGTGCCAGCTCTCCCGAAAACTGCTGTGCACATGGCTGGTAGCACCAGCTTCCAGGAGCAAATCTAGCTCAGCCCAGAACTGAGCACCCCTGATCCCAGACCAAGTTCTCACTTCTCCACTCAGTGCCATATATCCCTGGGAGAGCTCAGAGAATTGAAGCAGGTGGACTGTAAAACAGTTCCCAAATTGGGCCTTGGTATTTCCAGCTCCAGGCTCAGGAATTTTTGCTGCTGGCGGGTGGCAGGGCTCCTGGATGACAATGCTCCAGGGGTGAATGGTCCCAGTGAAGGTTTCACTTAGGTACTCAAAAGACACACTTGCACAGTGGCCACCTGAGGATGGATCTATTCGTGCCTCGCTGCTCAGGTCCAGGTCCCAACAGTCCTTCTACCCTGGACCTCCACACCCCGGCCTCCTAGCTACCTCTCCTGCTGGGCCCTAAGCCTGGATTCTCCATCCAGGACTTCCCCAGAAGCTGAAGGACCATGATGCCAAAAGCATCCTCCAGGACCTGCCCCTACTCAGCGCCATGTGTGAGGAGCCAGCCAGAGACCCGCTCGCCCTCAACAGGCTGCTGTGTTCTGCACTGAGGAAGAGGCTGAAGTAGGTGTAGCAGAATCACTCATGCTGGGGCTCTGCCCAGCTGCACCTGGCCAGGACACACTTGGCATGCTCAGTTGATCGGTCACCAGCATCCTGTTGCTGAGCCGAGAATAAGGGAGTCTGCAAGCCCTTTCCCTCAGAAGCTCCAGGGAAGTGGCGATGACCAGGAGAGAGTGGGGGATAGGGACTGGGGGGTGGATCTGGGGCAGCCCCAGAAAGCCCCAGGTAGGAGCGTAAATAGGTTAGGGGAACCGTCCAAGTGAAGGGGCCAGGTAAGTTGGGGGCTCAGGTTCGGTGGGAGAGATGGGCTCATGGGGCAGAGGCAGAGCCAGCAAAGGCAGCAGGGTCCCAGAGTCTGGTGCCCAACCCATATCCAGGAGAGTGGGCGGGCAGATCTCTGCGGACCCTAGAGCCCCCTACCCCTACCCCCTGCTCTTTTCATGTGAGAGGGCCCTGGGGAAACAGAAAGGGTGCAGGGTTCTGCTGGGAAGAGGTAAGTGCAGGTGGTGTGAACTCAGATGCTGGTTAGGCTCCAGGGAGATGAACAGGTGGAGAAAGAAGCTTCTGGGTGAGCCGAGAAGGTCACAAGGCAGCAGTCTCCTCTCTCCCATCCAGGATGAACATTGCCTCAGCCCACATTCTCCAGCTCCAGACGCTGACATCAGCTGACAGCCAGGAGCTGACTGTCAAGATTCCCCTGGACATGAAGGTTGAATTGAAAATGTGAGTGTCCTCGCCGGAAGCTCAGAGAGCCTTACAGAACCCAGTGGGACACTCTGGGAGCCATGCAGGGTGTGAGGAGTACAGCACTGCTCATTGGCTTGTAAAAATCCCTCTGGTGGTTGTTCATGGAGTCAAGTGGGGTTGTCAACCACTCAGGAAGAGTCAGAGAAAGCTTAGGCTGGTGAGGGCCAGGAAGTGGCTAGAAGTCCTTAGAGGTTGGATATGTTTTGAAGGAAAGTTGATACAAGATTCCCTGATGGACTGAATGTGTGAATGTTGGGAGGGGAGAGGGGTGGTAGGGAGAGATGGAGGGAGGGAGAGATTGTGTCTGGTATAGTCATATCCAAGACAAGATGGCGGGGATCATGAGAGGAAAGTTTGGGGTTTGGGCAGGTTGAGTTCAGTTTTACATGTAAATCTGAGACAGTGGCAAGACTGAGTCCACGGGGGGCTGGAGGAATAGCACAGCGGGTAGGGTGCTTGCCTTGCACAAGACCAACCTGGGTTTGATCCACGGCATTCCACATCGTCCCCTCGAGCACCACCAGGAGTAATTACTGAGTGCATGAGCCAGGAGTAACCCCTGTGTATTGCCAGATGTGACCCAAAAAGCCAAAAAAAAGAAAAAAAGACTGAGTATACGGGGTGGACTTGCATTGGTGTATGTTTAAAGGCTGCTGACATATGTAGAGGATTTAAATTAGGGAAAGAATCCTAACACCGAGCCTGGCCAAGTGAGGTCAAACTGTGGGGCCTGGAGGAATGGGAAGAACATGGCAATGAGTGAGGTGGAACTGGCAGAACCAGGGTAGGTGGACAGAGTTTGCTCCTGCCTGGGGCTGGATGGGGCTTACAGAATTGGCTCCTCCTCCCCCAGGCCCATGGTCAAGAACATGATGAAGCTCCAGGTGGCCATGGAGGTCAAAGCCAGCATAAGAGAAGAGATGACTGACAGTGGCGAGAAAAGCCTTGTCCTGGGCACCTGCTCTATCAGTGAAGAGAACCTGCACCTTAGTCCCGAGGACAAGTGAGTGGGGCAACCTGCCTGGACCCCTAGTGTCTGGGGGTAAAGCCAGGCTATGGTCTTGCCCCACTCACCAAGAGAACACTGAGGATAAAGAAGGAAAGAGATTTTCCATCCGAAATCTCAGTCAGGGAGTCCCTCTAGGGAACCTGTGATGCAAAGTTCAGGGAATCGAAGCAAAGGCAGTAATGGGGTTGTGGGGTGGGTGGGGGGTGTAGATTTTAGGCAACATCCCAGGAAATGGAACAGAGAGTGAAAACAGGTGTTTCTCGGGCCCTCGCACCATCCTGAGGCCACAGGGACAAAGATGTGACCTTGGTGTCACGGCAACTCTAGAAGGCAAGTCATCTCTCAAGCTCATCTCCCAGGCCCACAGAGAGATCAGAACAGGCAACAGCCATAGGTGCAGAGTACACGGCACACGGGAGTTGTGCAGGGACCATGGTGCTCCTATAATGAGCCCAGGGGGCCATGCCAATTGGCCTCGTCCAGCCCCCTCCCTGAGAGCCCCATGCCCATCTGCCCTCTCTAAGTCTCGTCCTATCAGGCTTGGTGAACTCCAGCATGCTCCTTCCCTCCCTGACTCAGTTTCTTCCTCTGTAAAACAGTGGGGAGGTCTCAGACCATCTTTGACTCCTCAAACAGCTCACCTTCTCCTCTCTTGAAGTGTCCCGTTTCTAGTTCGTCCTGTGGTCAACAAGGTAATGAGTCTCCTGACACCGGCTCTGCCCAAGCTGGTGAAAATACAGGTGAGTAGAATGAGGGCCCCTCTGGCCTGCAAACACTTCACCCCCTCTAGAGCAGGGGCAGAACTGCAAACTGGTGTTAGTGACCCAGGCTTCACTCAGTTACAAACTTTAGGGCCAGGAGATCTTTCTTTCGTTTGGGGATGCCTGAAATGTCAAGGTCAAAGATCCATCAAGAGGCCCTGAATAGGGATGTGCTGATAAATGTTAGAATTGACTCTGGAGGGGCTAAAGCCTGATCTGGAGCATTTACTGGTTTCCTGGGGTGAATCTTCCTCCAGAGACAGTTTCAAGCAGCAAGTGGGCTGTCTCTGAACAGAGCTAGGAAGTGTCACCCCATAGCACACTTCTCAATAGTATTGCCACCATGCAGACACAACCCATACAAGAGGGCCCGTGAGCAGCCATAGTAGTCAGACATTGCTGGAAGTAATGAGTCTTAGCTTTGCATTAACTTTGCTTCACTGATTCATATGTTTCACTGAAATGGTGATATACAGGTTTAGCCCCCTTACGCCCACTCTGACATTCCTGACAATGCAGCAGTAGCACCCATAAACTGTTAAGCGTGACTGAGTGACCCTAAGCCTGGTAACTCCGCACTTCACAGCTGTCCCTCACCAGACATTTTGTGCTTATCAGTCTCATTTCTTTTTCCCCTAAGCATCAGAGGTCAACGAAACCATCAACATCCCTGTTAATTCCAAGATGTGATCACAACCATGAATATTCTAGGGCAAGAAGGTCTTAAAATTTTTCCATCACGACCTTTCTTTGCTCAAGACATTTTTATGCAAACTTGGGTATATAGGTTTTTTGAAAAATGAAACCATTTGCTATTACTTTATTATTATAATTTAAAATTAAATTTTTAAAATTTATTTAAAATGCTAAATAAATGTATAGCATTTATTGCTATAAATTATAATTGCTATTATAATTATAATTGCTATGTTTAAATTATAATTGCTATTATAATTTATGCAGCTGGAGCAATAGCACAGCGGTAGGGCATTTGCCTTGCACGTAGCCAACATGGCCAACCCGAGTTCGATTCCTCCGCCCCTCTCGGAGAGCCCAGCAAGCTACCGAGAGTATCTCACCCGCACGGCAGAGCCTGGCAAGCTACCTGTGACATATTCGATATGCCAAACACAGTAACAACAAAGTCTCCAATGGAGATGTTACTGGGCCCACTCGAGCAAATCGATAAGCAACGGGAGAACAGTGGACAGTGACATTATCATTTATAGTAATAAATTATAAAGAAAAGTATCTTAAAATAAATTATTTTTGTGACCCCCCCCATGTTTAATTATGCAACCCCAAATGGGGTCATAAAACTAGGATCAAGGCTTCACAACAGCTTATCACTCAACTAGCACTTTCTTATCAAAAGGTTGTTGTGAGTTGAAAAGATGTTATAGCAACTACGACTGGAGAGATAATACAGTGGATAGAGTGGTTGCCTTGCGTGTGATCAGCCCAGGTTAAGTCCCCAGCATCCCATATTATCCCTGAACATTGCCAAGAGTGATCCCTGAGTGAGTGCAGAGCCAGGAATAACCCCTGAAGATCTCTGAGTGTGGCCCAAAGACCAAAAAAAATTTATAGCAACTAAAATGAGTTTAGGGGGAAAGAGCTATAATCCTTTACCTTAACCATGCAGCTGGTCTTCTGCACAGACTACCAACTCCCACTCCACAAACTCAGACTTCCAGAAGCTGCATTTTGGGTTATCTAACTGGTGTCCTTTAAGTCTTACCTATTTTCTGTGTTGTTATACAATATATCTAATCATTATGCTTCATGCCTTACTAGACATTCCAGAGAAACTTCTTAAAGAAATTTGAATGTCAATAATTTCATAAAATGTGGCTTTTCTGATATGCTATAATTTCATTTTTTAATTGCTATCATTTAAAAGTTGGGTGCTGGCATTATATTTAACAACTAAAAAATGTGTTTTCTTCTGGAAAAGATGGCACAAACTTGGCATAATATCACTTAGGGCTTAGAATAACATCTGATTTTAACTGAAAAAAGTTAATGTTGAAAACTATAAGAAAATGCATCCATCAAAGATCATGTCTCCTTCCATGAGTCACTGGACTTGATTGGTTGTTTACATAAATGTTTAACTGACCGTGAAGGGGAAAGTGCAACATATCAAGTTTTGGAAGGAGCCCATCTAGACCCTGGGAGCATAAATAAGTGGACCCATCCAATTGCGTACCAGTATTGCAGAGAAAGCAGGAATAAGAATGAATAAGAAAGCAGAGCTCTTTCCAGAGATTCATTGACAATAAGACTGGGTGAGGCTTGGTGCTCTAAAGGCTTCTAGCTCCTCTGAAGAATAGCGGGAAAGGGAGGAGTCACACCCAGCAATACTTCTGACTGTGCTCAAGGATCGCTCCTCTCCTGGAAGGGATCTAAGCAGTGTGACCACTCAGAAGGCAAGATTCTTCCCAATTCTACCCATCAGTTCTCTGAAGTATCTTAGCGTGTAGTAGGGTTGGGTCCCCGTAGTGGACTGAGGAAGGTATTTGTGAGACAGCATCCAGAGATGCAGGAATGGGCCCCATTCCTTCACAAGGGCGTTCTGCACAAAGCCAGGTCACTAACAGCCAGGACAGCTGACAGATCTGGACAACCAGGGCATCAACAAGAGATACAAACATTACTAAACATGTCCTGGTGATACCAAGTGTATGGGCAGCTGGGATGGATGCAGGGAAGGGACATACCAGCAAGTTCTCATACTTCAAACCATAAACTGGCTATCTGACCACAGCTGTGGGGGTCCTGGCAGGCATAGGTTACTGAGGTCATCGAGGTCCCTGGTAGACAGACCTTGCTTTTGTGTTGTTACAGCTGTGTCCTGTGATTGAAGCTGCTGTTCAGGATCTACGAGGGGGCATTCAGCAATCTGAGACATGTAGGTGCACTGCTCCCTCTACCCCTTCCCCATACTGCTCCACTGGCTCTGCCCAGGGAAGCCCCTCCCAGCCAGGCCTGAGCAGCCTGTGGGTGCCAGCCTATCCCCACATGATCAGACAAATTCATCTAGTGACTTCATGGGCATCAACCAAGGATAAGTGAGATGAGTCAGTGGGTCCACCATTAGCACAAATTCAAATCCCAGTTCTGATACTGATTTACTCAATAGCCAATAGAAGGGTAAGTCAACTTTCTTTTCCATAAAGGAGGCCTGTATCACCCCTGCTTCACAGGATAATGGATGTATGGATGGGTGGATGAATAGATTCACAGATGATCGATGAATGGTGACCGGATGGATACATGCATTGATTAATGGATGGTTGGCTGTGATTTGGATTTGAGTCAACTTAACTAAATACCAGTCCTGAGCAACCTATCAGGCTGGTATTACCATTATGCCACAATTTTAAGGGAAGAAACTGGAGAGGTGGGAGAGACTGGCTAAAGGTATTGGTTCTTGAATGGGATTCTCAGAGACTTGTCTGACTTCCAGGAACAACACAGGAGAATATGGGATCGAGACCTTTTGACCACCCTTTCCATTCTCAGTCCAACAGGCACCCACAAATCAGGGAGTGAGGTGGGAAAATTCATAACCTACCGCATTCACACCTGACTTTTCTCTGTTTTCTTTGAGAGAAAAACCTCCAGGCACACATACTTCTGCAGTGGACAGCAGGGGCTGCTCTTGGGAGTGCACGAGGCCAAGGGGTATCCTTTGGAGCAATTAGAATCCAGTGCTGGAGGCAGAGGCTGAGGGAATGAGGTCAGGAGGGTTCTGGGGACAGAAAACAGATAAGCAGAGGCAAAAGGACATTCTGAATCAGGCATGTGAGGTCCTGAGTTCCCCTCTATAATGATGAACCTGCACTCAGCTGCCCCATTCACCAACCCTACCATCTCCACCCACATCACATTTCAGTCTTTTCACCAATTGATAAACCAGAAAGGCCTGTGGAACCCAAGAAACTGGAGGCAGCTTCATGATCTCTGACCAGGGTCAAGGTATATGAATGAACACCCAATTCTACCCCATACTCCATACCCCAGAAAAAAATTCAGCTGCCTAGGACTGATGGGATGAATCTGTCTTTCATAAAAATTCTTGCAAAATTGTGGTGATTCGTTTAGCTTAGAGTCAACAGACTCCTTTGCTGTGACTCAGTATTTCCCCACACCCTGTTTCTCTGACCTTCAAGATTCTGTGTAAGAGATTTCAGGTCCATCGTCCTCAATGACAGGGGTTACCTTGTAGAGAATAAAGCTGTACCATCCACAAAAGTTCTTGAGGCGAAAATCTCCTTTGACTTTTCTCTTCATTCCAGGATGCCTTTGTCATCACACCAGCCTCCTCGTGAACCCTGGACCACCCTCCTCATTCAGTGATATTGGATGGGGCCACCCAGGGCAGGAAGGAGCCCAGTGGGGCTATGGGAGGCCACGGTGTCAACTGTCTGTCCCTCTGCAATAAACAAAATCAGTCTGTGACATCTTCTGTCTGCCTGTGTTTCTGTCCCTACTTGGAAACCTCAGGGCCCCCAGTGGTCGGGTAGGGACCCCTGAGCCCAGCTGAGCTCTGGACTGTGCCCAATCCCACCTGGGCCATGTCTGAACCTTGTCTGGCTACATCAGTGACCCTGAGCACCACAACCAGGACCTGACCCTGCTGGGCTCAGGACAAGAGAGCTGCTATCCATCCTGCCTTCACTGTCAGCCTCAACACCACCTACAGGACAACCCCTTGGGGAGTATTTGTGAAAGGGAACATTTTCTCCTTCGTGTTGGTGTGGTAGATCCAAGATACTCTGAACAGTTCCCTAGTGTTGGAGGAACAATTTTTTCCCAATGAGCCTGGACACGTTGTGCACCGGGGTCCGGGAAGTCGTGGGGCCAAGGATGATAGGTGCGCAGAGAAACACCCTCCAGGAGCAGCTGATGGCTGTTCACTTTATTGACAAATACACACATATTTTATAGAGGGTCTCGGCTTACAGGAAGGTCCAATCAGATAAAGTTTAGCATTATGACCTCTCCTACTCTGTTTTTCCCTGGTCCAATCCCAATCAAGGCTAGATGCTAAGGTTAGGATGACCTGCTAAGCATACATGAAGTTCCTTTGTCTTTGGCACATGCGACTAGGAGGTTGAGTGAGGCTCAAGGTCGAACACAGCGTGCCGACACCCTGTTCTTGTCAACTTTGCCCAGATGCTCCCTCTTGTGAGGCTTTATTTCTGGGCCACTTTTCAAGGTCGGGTCTTATCTGCTCCAGTGCCCATCACCATGCTCCACAACCTAGGGGTGCCAGTACCCTGAACCATACCAGTACCCTGGGGACACCCCAGAATTCCGGCCGGGACCCCAAATGGCATGTTGGACTTGGGAGGCAGCTTCCTCTGGGACCTCAGTTTCCTTCTCTGTGCTGTGGGGAGAACCACATCTTGGCAGGCTATAGAGGGATGGAGTGAAAGACAATGGTGGCTGGGGCTGAGGCACTCAGGCAACGTGGTGGGTGGTGAGTTCACTGTCCAGAGGTGACCTGGCCTCACTCCAGTCCCTTCCTCTTGGACAGCAGGTGACAGCCATTGTCCCCCTGGCCTACCTGAGGCCACAAGGCTCAGGATGACAATGGGGCCCATGTTCCCTGGGGGACCAGCACACAGAGCCCTGCATTCACTCGAGGAATTGCAAGAGATGTTGATTATCTTTATTTTTCTATGCTTTATAGCAATCAACATATTGATGGTCACTGGTCTATAGTGTCATATTGTTTTCATGTTACATTATGGTCAGACATCTGTACACATTCCCACAGAGCCCGCCCCAGGCCAGCTCCTGTTTACTCCAAACATCTGACCCAGCACACCTGCTACCTGCTAGCTTCTTGGCCTTCTAGTAACCGGCTCTGTATGGCAGATTTTGTCTTCATCTCGGTTTGGTTTACTTTGCTCATGTGGTTGCTTTATTTTTTTAAATTATTGTAAGCTATTTTGTAAGTGATTCATAGTATTGATCATGATAGAGTTTCATGCATAAAACGTTCCAGCTCCACACCTGTCACCAAATTGTCCACTTTCCTCCACCAGCAACCCAGTCCACTTCATTTCCCCTCCATCGCCTACAGGGATAAGCTTCCTACTAAAGACTAGTTTTTGGTTTCTTTTGCCTGGTAGGCATTAGTTATCTCCTTACTATGTGTCCTTGTGTCCCAAATGTGAGGGAGGTCATTCTGTGTCTGTCCCTGTCCTTCTGACTCACTTCGTTCAGCAGGATATTCTCGAGATCCATGCACATAACAGCAAAGAGCCTGCTTTCATCTTGCTGCACAGCCAGGCAGCATTCCATTGTGTCTGTGTACCAGAGTTTCTTTAGCCAGTCTTCTCTTCTTTTTAATATTCTGCACATCAGTGGATCTACTCTCCTCGCCACTTCCAGACTTGTGTCACTTTGCCTAAAGCCCTCACAGGTTATGCTCACTGATTTCTCTGCTCGAGTCTCAACAGTCTAAGCATTGCTGACTTTACTCAACGACTGGTCTTGAACCTTGCAGGTACTTCAATGAACAGGAACTTTTTTTAATTGAATCACAGTGAGATACACAATTACAAAGTAGTTGTTCATAATTTGGTTTCAGTCCTATAATGTTTCAACACCAGTTCATTCATCAGTGCGTATTTCCATATTTCCAAGCATCAATGTCCCCAGTTTCCCTCCCACCCCATCCCCTCTAAGGCATACACTTCTTCTCTGTCTCTGTCTCTGTCTCTGTCTGTCTTTCTCTCCCCCTCCACCCCCTCTTGCTCGCTCTTGCTCTCTCCCCCTCTCTCCCGCCCTCCCTCTCTCTCCTTTTGGGCATTATGATTTGCAAGACAGACTTAAGAATTATCATGTATGTCCTTTTATCTGCTTTGAACACTCAGTTCTTGTCCAGAGTGATCATTTATAATTATTATTGTCATACTGCCCACAGGGCAGAGTCTGGCAAACTCCCCGTGGCGTACCCAATATGCCAAATACCAGTAACAATGATGGGTCTCATTCTCCTAAAGAGCCTTGAATATAATCTCAGGGCTAGGATGAAGGAGACATTACTGGGGCCTGCTCGAGGCAATTGACGAATAACAGGATGATGAATGAATGAATTGTCATACTGATCTCTTCTCTATTCTAAGTGCCCTTTGCCCCACACACATTTGTGGCAAGCTTCTTGCCATTGACCAGACTTCCTGGCCCCTCAACAGAAACTTTCTCACCTCATAAAAATTTCATCTTACAATTTGTATTGCATGAGTCCTAAACCTTGTCCCTAGTGCAGATATATTCCACTTTGTTTTGTCTAATAATTGTATTATCTTACCTTTAGGGCAGTGGGTGGAGTGATTAAAACAGCAGTTATTTATTCTCCCGGTTGAGAAATCACAATATTAGCAGAATCCACTCCCTCTGAAGGGTCCGGGAACTATCTTTTCCTCCCCTTGGTCCACATCTGGGGGCTTCAGGTCCTCCTAATTTTTGTTTTTATATAGACTTTGGCTTTGGGGCCATACCCAGCAGTGCTCAGGGCTTACTCCTAGCTCTAAGCTCATATTTCACATGGCAGGGATTGGGGGATCATATGGGGTGCCAGAGATCAAACCACCAGGTTAGCTATTCACAAGGCATGCTCTCTAACCACTATACTCTCTCTCTGGTCCTCCAGGTCCTCCCTTGCCTATGGCTGCCTTGCTGTAAACTCTGCCTCCCTGCTTGCATTGCTCTCTATCTTTCCTGTCTAATTTTGCTTTAGCACTTACAATTTTTATCTTCCTGGAGATTCTTGCACTTATTTTAAATATGTGAGCCTCCAGCTCGACTTCCCCCCATATCACAAGTCTGTTTTCTCAAGTCAGCTACCAAACAATCATGTTCCCACACATGGTTCCCTAGTTCCCTCCAATTCCATCTGTAGAGAGGTTTCTGCACCTGCACATATTTCAAATGTCACATCTTTGTAGGAGGCTGTTTTGTCTGCATGTTATTCTCTAGAGTGAATATTAGCGTGTGTTGAGTTCCTTCAAAAACCAAAAACAACATCTGGGAAATCTAGGCCTGCATCAGATTTGTTCGTTTTTGTTATGTTATCAATACAAATTTATGGCAGACCAATAACAAACATAATGTATCTTTAAAATGTATTAAAGCGGTAGATTTATATCCCTTATAGAATTTTAAAGTACAAATTGTGCTTATTGTTTGTTCACCTAGTCAAAGCTGGCAGTGCTCAGAGGGTCACTCATGGCAGTGCTCAGAGAACCACGCAGTGCTGGGAATGAAGCCAGGCCTCTTACAAGCATGTGCTCCAGACCAACAAGCTCCTCCCCAGGCCCTATAAACATCCTGAGCATGTGTTCAGAAACTGAGTCCTAAGAAATTCATAGGTTTTTTTTCTATAATAACATTATTCTCTTATCATATTTTGTGATTGGCATTGCCAACACTGACAAGCAGAAGGCTGTGATTTTTCAAGTGAATCTGAAATCCAAGTCTTCCTGATGTCCACCCACCTTCCTCTGTGGTTAAAGACCAGACTGATATAATTTTAAACTCTCTCTGCTAGACAGCATATGTCTCTGAAATTCATTCACATAGACCACTGAAGGGCTGGAGCGATAGCACAGCAAGTAGGGTTTTTGCCTTGCACACAGCTGACCCCGGTTCAATTCCTCCGCCCCTCTCAGAGAGCCCGGCAAGCTACCGAGAGTATCTCGCTCACACAGCAAAGCCTGGCAAGCTACCCGTGATGTATTCAATATGCCAAACACAGTAACAAGAAGTCTCACAATGAATATGTTACTGGGCCCGCTTGAGCAAATCGATGAACAACGGGAGGACAGTGCTACAGTGCAGACCACTGAAGTGTCTGCTGTCAAATGCTGTGCTGGTCCCCCAATTAATATGAGACTAAACAATGATAGAGCCATAATCTACCTATTTAGTCAAGTTGGTTATTTCTCTCTTTTTTTTTTTTTGGCTTTTTGGGTCACACCCGTGATGCACAGGGGTTACTTATGGCTCATGCATTCAGGAATTACTGCTGGCAGTGCTCAGGGAACCATATGGGATGCTGGGAATTGAACCCAGGTCGGCTGCGTGCAAGGCAAATGCCCTACCAGCTATGTTATCGCTCTAGCCCAAGTCGGTTATTTCTAAACAGTGCTTCAACTTAAAAATAATTTTGCTTTTAAAAATAAATAAATAAAATATTTTTTTTTGTTTTTGTTCTGGGCCATACCCAGCAGTGCTCAGGGATCATTCCTGGTGGGCTTAGGGGACCATACCAAGTGCCAGGGATCAAACCCAGATTGGCAATGTGCATGGCCCTACTCATTGTTCTATCTCCCCAGTCCCCAAATAAAATATTTTTACATTTAAAAAATATTAGTTGTAATA